ATGATGTACATGATGTTATAGAACTGATTAAGTAATGAGGTATAGTATAGTAGACGAGCAATCGTATTGATATTCGGGTTTAATAACAAACATTAAGCTTGAATTTGAGACGAATGTCATGATCCAAAGAGTGGAACCATGAGGGTGATGATGTTAGTCTTGAGATTTGATCTTGTAGACTTGGCATATAATATGTGAGGAATTGAAATGTTATCTCCAATGAATATGAGTGGTACAGGTGAGAGACCCTAACTTTAGATAAGGGCAGTGAAGTATGGCTAAGTCACAAGAGTAAAAAGAGCATTAAGAGGATGTACACCAGTTAGAGATAATGGAATAGGTCCATATCTTTCAAGTGTCAGCTTTAGACCTAAGGGGGAGATGTCGAGATGAAAAATCTAGTCAAGTGTTTGAGAGTAAGATAGTAATGAGTTCCAAAAAGTATGAGAGATATCCATTCAGAGGTCCTTTTAGTAATGGAGTGATGTTAGAAAGAGGAGGTTGATGTTCTTATCGTGTTAGTGATGGTGTGAGAATTCCATCTAAGGTTATTAACAATGAGGAAAAAGAGGATTAGGTTTTACTAAGAGAAATAGTTAAATGAGAGCCCTTAGTTGGATCTGAAGGAGTTGGTTAGTAGGAGTTCATGGAATTGTTCGAGTACTAAGCTTGAATGTGGTGGTAAAGAGTAATAGTTTGGGATGAGATTTCCTATAGAGAGGTATCTAATCCGAACTTAAGGATTTGGGTTAAGCTTGAATATAGTAAGAGCATACCATTAGACCCAGACCATAGTAAGAGTAACCCCATTCTCTACCCAGTCCAGTCGTCATTCGAGGACGAATGATCCCAAGGGGGAGATATTGTAACACCCCAGAAATTTTTTTGAACTAAGACTCGAACCGTTCTTTGTAGTGAGTGAGCTTTTACCAAGTAATTAAAAATTTCCTAAGTTTTAAGGTCACTAGATGTAGCACCTTGAGTTCCAAAAAAGAATTAATTTGGAAATAGCAAAATCCAAAATTTTACAAGTTAAGCTAAGTATGAGATTTGGATCGACTTCAAACGACCATAACTCCTATCTCAGAATGAGTTAGGTGTGCTACTAGATACCGTAGCGAAGATCTTTGAATTATCTTTCCAACGCCACCGAGTTTGGTAAGTTTCAACGTCGGATGAGTGAGATATGGTACTTTGAAGTTAGGCTGTCCAGGTAAGGAAAGTTAGCCGGAAATAGTGAGGGGTATTTTGGGCTTTTCCTTACCCAATCAGATTTAATTCATTTTTAGTAATAATTTAGGGGTCTAATCTGATTAGATTCAGTTTTATAATCCTAAAATTAGCCTAGGGTTTTAGTTGAAAGTTCAAGAAGAGAAAAGAAGAGAAAAGAGGAGAAAAGAGGAGAGGATCAAGCGTTCGTCGAGATTCTTATGTGTTGTAGCGGATTTTCGCCATGGGTTTGATCCCTAAGAGGTATGTAAGCTTCCATAGTGTTGGGTTTGTTCACCCACACACCAATCATGTTATTTTCAGCGCAATTTCGTTCTTAAAGTTGAAGGATTAGAGTTCTTGATGAGTTCTAGATAGGTGTTCTTGAGGTTCATTATAAATCTTGTTGTGTTGGGTTTTGGATGATTCTTGAGAACAAAGTGAGTGTTTTGAGGGATGTATTGAGTAGATTAGAGTGTACTTATGTTAAGTAATCAATTTTAAGTGATTGGAGAAGAAACCGTTCGATTCTAGGCGAGTTAGGGTGAGAAAAAGAGCAAGGAAAATTCGTCGATTTTCTGGGTTGGGGAGTGGCGCGATGCGCTAGCCAGAGCGCCCCAAACCCTCCTATGAAGTTTAGGGGCTGGTGCCAGGGTCGCCTGCCCTATCCAGTTTGTCGTCGGTTGCCCCGTTTGAGTTCGTTTAAAGTGCACCTTCACTCCTTTTCGATTCTAACTACTCTAAGCTACTTCTAAACACCTAAAATCATTCCTAACATGATCATAACCTTGAATTCATAATTCAAATTCAAGGTAGAGTCGAGAGTTAAGTTTTTGAGAATTCTTTCGAACATTCTAAGAAAGTCCCTTTGAGTC